TTTCAGCTGGAAAGAGTGGTTCAGGGCAGCTGAGTCAACCTTCACCCATGGCCACTGACCTCAGAGAACAGGGCTGCCACTACTACAGCAGCAGGTGCAATAGCAGAACTCTTCCCACTTTTATGGTCTGGCACAAAGCATGCCATCCTCTCCTCCAGGTTCAAGAGGCCATCATTTCACCAGCTGTTTATTTAATCCTGACTAATCCTGCATTCAAGCCACAGCCTTTTGTTTAGATGAAATGAAAACCTGAAGGATGTACCACAAGAAAAAGGAAAGCGTAATTTGAAAAGTAGGTGCTTTTACTCCTTCATCTTGAGGCAAACCAGATTACTGAAGCTCTAAGTGGAAATATTTGTTTACAAAAAGAGCAAATTATTTAAACTTGCTATTTTTCAAAATATAAAGACATGACCTTCCTCTCTTTTCCTCTCCACAGACTTGTTCTTGCTGGCAGCAAAAATAAGTCATGACATACATGCATCACCAGTGAAGTCTTTCAACAGAATTAGGTACTTGGATGTCTGTGCTAAAGATTTATCCTCAAGCTACATATACTTTACCCTCAAAGATAACTGGATTTCAACTATGAAAATATCAAAACTTTATTTCTGTAAAATCATAGAATCATCAAGGTTGGAAGAGTCCTCTAAGATTGTCAAGTCCAACCATCAATGCAGCACTGCCACTGTTACCCCTAAGCCGCTCTACCCACATTACCCAGCACCAAATCCAGATGCCTCCTAAGGACCTCCAGAGATGGTGACTCTACCACCTACCTGGGCAGCCTGTTCCAATGCCTGATGTGCCCTAACAGTGAATTTTTTTTTCTCTGATATCTAATCTGGTTCTCCTGTTTCAGATGAAAGCCATTTCCTCTGGTCCTATCACTGCAGGCACAGTAGAAGAGACTGACCCCCACCTCACTTCAGCCTCCTTTCAGGGAGTTGTGGAGAACAATGAGATCTCCCCTGGGCCTCCTCTTCTCGTGACTGAAGAAACCCAGCTACTTCAGCAACAAGCCTTCTTGCCCTGCACTGGACACACTCCAGCACCTCATTATCCTTAATACCAAATACCAACCTTAACACTCAATTTGTGCTCCTATTTGTGCTTTAAGTAATTATTTTCCCATAAAATTAAAGATCAGAGATTTGACAGCCTACCAAACTTCAGACCTAAGGATTGAATTTTGCAAGTAGTTTGTAAAGAGCTATCTAAAGCTGGGAAGTATTAGGGCTCAGCTCTTCCTGTAAGCTGGGCAGCCTTTATTTTTAGTTTTCAATTGTCAATATTTCTTTTCCTTTTGTAAAGGAAGTTTAAAGAACTGCCAGTACTTGAAGTTGTATTTACAAGTCCAGTGTGATACAAACAGGGCTGATCATTTTATGCAGTACTCAGACTACTTCAGCTCCTTCAGTTGACAAGACCTAAGGAAAGAAGACTAAATACTTACTCTAAGAAAAAAACTAAATACTTACATCACTGAAGTTGCTACAGGTTTGCTGATCTCATGTTACCTGAAAAACTGAAAACTCAGCTCCTTAAGGAAGGTACAAGCCACCTTTCCATATTAAACTTTTAATGCTACTTCCAGATCAAGTCTTTGTAAAGTTACTTTGCGGTTTAAAAGCATTCCCTGGAAAATTAGCAACTAAATGCTTCCTTTACCAAAGTGCACAGTAACAGAGAAGGGAATGAATTTTCCCCTGCTAAATTAGAACAACCACCTTGTTTCACCTGAGACAATTTCAACACAAATCCTACCCACACAAACCCACACAAAAAATCAATTAGTAGATTAACTATCTATTAACCTGTGTTTTATGAACATCAGGCTATAGAGAACATACTAACACCATGTTTGTATCTATCTATCCTGATCTTCCAGAAAAACAACAACAACAACAACAAACCCTGAAGAAACCTTTTATTTTGAAATTGTTGAATAAAGGAGAGGGAAAGGTGGCTAGAACAAGACCAAAACTTGGTATTTAAACCAGAAATACTCTTTGGATGAATTTAATGCTCTCAATAAAGTTATAGTGTATCTGAAGTCAACACCTCACCAAAGATAATAACAAGGCAGAAGGCTCTAACAGCTGAATCTCTGGTAGACAATGCCATAAGCTGAAGTGCTTAGAATTTTGCTACATGGAATCGTTGAGGTGACATGTGTTCTGCCAAATTCTGTACACATGTGACTACCTTGAGGAGACCTAAAATTGGCCTGTAAAACACCAGGTCCTGCTAAGCAGTACTGCTGCTGTCTCTGTACAGGTCACAGACACACCCCACACTGCAATGTGTGCTGGTCAGACCACACTCACCTCTTGGCTGTGGCAGCTGAACTGTAGCAGATCTGAACAAGCACAGAGGCTTTTCCAAGAGCACATCCTGTCTGCCTGCAGAAGACCTCTATGGCTTGTTTTTTTTCTACAGACATGATTAAACTACAGTTTAAAGAACTATTACCTTTAAGGCATATCTTTTATGACTGATTATATATACCCTAGAAGGAAAAGCACATGCATTTGCTTTCAAAATTCTGGTGTTCCAGTAAACCTAAAAAACTTTAATGTGATTGTGTCACTGTGAGCCTATTCAATAACTTCTGTTATAAACAATCACCCTTTTCCCCTCCTAAGCCATTAAGTGAAAAGTCATTGCCCCTGAAATGACTTGAAAGGTTTCAGCTAAGACTTCAAACTTTGCAGAGATATTTAAGAGATTGAAAAGAGTAGTTCCTGTCTTTTTATTATTTGTATTAATTAAAAATTAATGTATATGTATATGAACACAGACCTAGCAATATCAAGAACAGATTCATACCCAGAGTGAAGTTAAAAAGGGAAATGGAAACTGGGATGATGGCTGGGTTCTGGAATGCAAACCAGCAGGTAAGCATGAAATAAGGGGAAGAGGAATAGCATGAAGAAGCCTTTAATTACCTTAAAAAGCAGCTGCTCATTAAGCAGGTTTGTGAGATTCTTTCAAGACTGAAAAGTTAAATTTGAAGAAAGCAAACACCTACTGGGCCCAGACAGCAACCAAGTCTGAGATACTTCCAGGCTCAGTAACACATTTGGATTCCCATTTACCCTGGTCAAGACAAGCCCTGGTTTCCTATTTAAGATCACATTGAATAAAGAGCATTGATAAGAGCAAGGCCTGTCAGCCTCTTACATCAATAGCCTTTTTTGTATCATCTTGATTTTCTTCATCTCAACACTGCAGAATTTGGTTTGTCTTTGCTGCCCAGGAATGCACAAAGACAGCAGGAACATGGAATATTAATGCACACACCATAAAGTTACTGCACAGGAGTGCAAGAACAATCATTCTGAAGACCAATAAACTGCACCAACTGTTTTTACAATGTGCTTTATTTTCACTAGTTGTGTATGTTATTCAAGTGAGTCATTCTGTATTTTTATTATGAGTATTCAAGGTATAAGTAAGATGAAGGAGACAAATGCCCATTGAATTGCAAGCTTGATACTGTAAGTGGACACTTTTCTTCTGCATTTCTATTGATGTATTCTTACTAAAAATAAAACCCTGAAACACATGACAGCAGAATGATACCAAAGCAATAGTCACATGAAAAATTTCCCCACTTGTGGCTCCCTCCAACAGCATATAGAAGACCACTATCTCCCACTGACATCACCAAAGTTTTTTACTATATGTTTTGCATGGTAACAGGCTACACTATTTTATATCAGTACTGAAAGAGTGAAAACTTACCAGGCCTCAGTTCTATAAAATCAGTATGAAGGATAAAATCTCTAAGGCTACACCCACAGCCTAAAGCAGTGGCTATGAGACGTGAATTCCCCCCAACTCCAACATGTCACAGGATGGATGTACACCTTAATGGCTGTAAAATTTCCAGACCCCTTTTTAATTACTTCTGCTTACAGGTTAGTAATTTCACCTGAGGAAACGCTCTGCTTTCTCTTTACTGTTGCCACTATCTTGTATTTTCTCTTTCTGGTGTATGACTCTCTTATGCCCCTTATGGGAAAAAAAGGCAATGTAGGCAGGCTGCAGAAGATGGGAAAGGATGTGAAACCAGACATAGCATATAGCTTGTCCTTAGGGAAGTAAACGATACCAGGGGCCTAGAACAGGACATCCCCTACAGACAGAGACATTTGTTTTGTAATGGAGCCATCGGAATACAACAAATGGCAAGAACTGCAGTCATTTTCATTCTATCTCCCATCACGTACCTGCTGCCTTTTAGCTACAAGTGCAGGGAGTACCAGTGCAATTCAAAGAGGGTTACTGACCTGTTTGAGTTACTGAGTATTTGCAGCTGGCTGCCCTGGCCATCACAGCCAGAGGCAACAGTTTTAAAGGAGTACTTGTCATACTGACATGATTTGTGAGAAAAGGAGACTGGATGGAGGCACTAGTTTTCTGGTTTACTCAGCCAGTGAAACTGAATCAGTACACACACAGATAAACAATTCTGACATCTTAGAGACTGAAAATAGATACAGCAGGACTCATGAGGTGAGACACATTATCAGACTATGTCACTTCTGTGTGAGGTACTTAGATCCTAGGGTGGTGCCTGCTATCAATTTTCACAAAGAAAATATTCTATGTAGCACTGCAGTTGTACCTTGCTCCAATTAAAATGGAAGTGAACTGATCATTGTGATGAATTCCACAAGAACCAAGGAAGTAACCTTAAAAAAAATGCAAATGATTAGGGCTTACTAACCAAACTTTTCATATAGTCACTCTAGGCAAGTTCACTTGCAACTAAACAGCAAGGCCCTTTTCTTTAGAAAATGCCTTAGTCACTCAATGATTACAAGTTAAAATGCAAACCATAAATTCATAAACCATATGATCTAAACCAACATCCTTAGGTTACGTTGTGGCTGGTTTCTCTTGTACTGTCATCTGAGAACTCAAACCCTAACATTCCTGTTCATTCCAGAATGTCTAGAAGAAAAACACTAGACATGCTATTTCACTGGTAAAGCATGAATAATTTATTCAAATAAACATTTTAAAACTCTCTCAAGCATCACAGTATGTCAGTGTACAACTAGTGACAACTTCAGAAGTCATGCTTTTGGTGCAAAGCATAAATTTAACATTAAATGCCACAAGATGATTTTTCATTACTTCAAAGAAGCTTAGGATTGATAATAAACTTAAAAATAAATATTATCAGTAGTAAGTACTGTATTTAATTTTTATATAGCTTTTAAAAACTCTGGATTGCTGGGAAAAAAAATCTCTGTCTGATAGGCTGTCATAATCAAAAACATTCCTGGCTGAAGTAACACAATTCAGCAGTGTACTTTTAAGTTCTGTGAAAATATTACAATCTTCCACAGAACAAGTGTATGATGATATCCCGGCACTCAATAAAATCAGTGTGTTGATTTCAGTCTCTCTTTTCCTGGTAACAATACTTCCTCAGGATTCTTGCTTTTTTGTTGGTTTATCTAAGTAAGGAGTGTTGTCCTGCAGCAGATCTTTCCTGGGTATAAGTACTGAAATAGAAAAAAACCAAAATAGTAAGACTATAATCTTATGGAAAATACTATTTCAAATTCTAAAGGTGTTTTTACATTTACAAATGAAACATCCAGTTACTAAAATAAGGATCTGAACTTCTGTTAAGTGTACAAGTAGCATCATGATATCTCAGACAAAATCATACCAAGATTTTACTTTCAGCAGGTCACAATATTTTCCTGTCTCCTTTTATAAGCATTGAAAATTTTGATATTAAGAAGCCATAAAAAATTATAAAGTTTTGCAGTAACTTTTAGCAGGGGGTGAAAAGCATTTTTATCAAGTCTGAGTCGTATTATGCTTCCTTCAGTAGTTTCAAAAATGAATACTGGATTTGACTTAACTCTCTCCCCCAAGTCTTGGAATCTAATCTGTAATATTTATCTTGTCACACTTTTTTTAAGGCCAACAGGAAAAGAAAGCACCTAATGAAAGTTACCACCACTACACTGTCACAGAATTGACTATTCTGTGTCCTTCATTACTGAGTCCCCTGTTCTATTCAGTTGCAGGCCCGTGCTTTCTCTCGTCCTCCTGTGGCTGATACACCTGGCTGTCCTAGCCCCATCCCTACACACTCGCACAGGACTAGAACACAAGCTTGTATGTGAACGTGAATCCATTTGGCTTTTGCAAGGGAAGTTCTGCCTTACAGCTCCCAGCTGGAATTCTCTGAATGGCGCTTCAGAGGTTACCACAACATGCCTGGATTCCCGAGAGTCCCTCGGTCAATGCTTTTATAAAACAACAGCCTTATTATGACAGAAGCACAGGTAAGTCACAGGTTAAACTGTAAGACGTGAACAATAAAATGATCAGGTCATTCACTAGAGTGATGTCAAATGCTGAGTTCTACAGGTATTTTTGTTGACATGTCACTGTTCAACATATCTGTAAGTAACCTGTGAAGAAAACATTTTTAATTGTACAATCCTGAACAATTTCATTAAGGAAATGTCTTACCATGAAAAATAGCAAGACTTGACTGAGTAAATTGATGGACAAAATTACACCCTCAGACATGCAATGCACACAGGTCAAGAAAAATACTAACTTCAAAAAATAAATGGTAAGTTCAAAACTGATTATGACCACTCTGATGAGTTTAATGGGTACAATTTTGTAAAAATAAATACCTAACATGTATGCGTGGTAGCCAAAACTTAAATTTAGAATTAGCAGTGACTATTAGCAGGAATGCAGTTAAAAATGAAAAGAGAAAACATTATTGTGCCATGTTGTATGTATAAATGCCTCCTTGCCCACACTGTGCAGTGAATAGCAAGAATAATCACAAAAATCCTGTTGTTTCTGAGAGCTGTTTCACTGGGGAAGTGAACAAAAAGGAGGCAATAAAGGACTTAAAATTCTTTTTTTAATGATTAAAAAGGAACAGCTTGATGAAAATGAAAAGTAATTGAAGACAAGCCCACTGAAGATAATTAAACCCGAAAACATCCCTGACTGAGGAAGTGCTGCCAGGTGTGAACAGCTGAAAGAGGTGCAAATTCACTTTGTCTGTTTCTATTCTTCAACTCTTATCTGCCTGGAACCACTGTGGAAGACTTGACACTGGTCCAGACTTATCTTTGGCCTTGATTATAATTGCTGTTTTAAAGTTAAATGTTTTACCGAACCTAAAACTGAAAATTGGTGCAAAACTTAACAGACAACAATAAACGGAAGTAAAAGGAAACAATGTACACAGCTGAAGATTTCCTGTATTCTCTACAGCACAGTTGTATGCTGAGCCCACCTACTACTTCTCTTTTTGACTGCAAGATAAAAGAACTTCTAAACCAGGAATCAGGATTTCAGATGACAGACTTTGCATCGAGGTAATCACTGTGTCACAAATTTTACACAGCATAACCTGAAACTGAAATTGCTGGAAAGAGGTTTTGGAAATGAGCACTCAATCCTCAGAGAAAAAGCTATTCTATGGTCAGTGTACATACTGCACTTGCTAATGCTCCTCAGGCAGCTCCTCCCTATTTGGTAGAGCAAGCATGTACAGATAGGTACTGTGGCTACTGCCTTTAGACATATGCTGACTCACTGGCCTGTACATGCACGATAATTAATTGCTGACCTTCCCAATAGTTACAGCTAGTTAACGGCATTAGAAGTAATCACTGCCTCTTTTCTACTAGCCTCCATTCTTCAAAACATTTGTATGGAAACTTTGTATCTTTGAAACCTCCACCTGTCCTAGGTAGTGACATTAATGAATAGCTTACATTATGAATTTCAGCAGAGAATAACAGACAGGCTATTTGCCTTAATATTCCTTTCCTTATTTTCACATTCTGTATTTATTTACTAAGTTATAACATATTTAAGTATCTTTTCAGCATGCAGGCTTACTCACCTATTTTGTCAGAAGCTGTGTGAACTGCCTGAATAACAGAAGTTCTGAGAATCACTTCAACATCTGAAGCTATTTTCAGAAGCTAGTAAAAGGAATAAGAAGCAAGGAACAACAGAGTAATTTAAATTATATGTGACTATTTCTGAAGATATTTTCCATACTAGACAACTATTCAAACAATAAAGTCATTTACTTGTACTACTCAGTTACTTATGTACTATGTATACACTGTTTTTACCTTGGGTATCCTGGAATAACTTACAGATTGATATGTAATTGACCTTGACATGGAGCACATACTCTGGCTCAGTAACATACACCAGTACATACATCTGTGTACCAAATTAAAACTGCAGACGAGTAAGGTGAAATGCAACTACAAAACCAATTAGCTAGTTTCCAATGATAAAGGACACTCACTCATGCCTCAGTAACATTTGACTTCCCATAGTGAAAGGGCAATCTCATTCTTTCAACACTACTGCTCCTGAAGTAAGGAGAGAAAAACAAGGGCAAAACAAGAATTAAGAATACTGAGGTTTCACAGAACTGTGCAGAAACAAGGCACTACCTAAAGACTACCCAAGGTATTAGTATTTGGCAAAAGGCCTAGAATTCCTTCCCTCACTAAGAGGATAAGCTGAAGCACCCTTGCTAGCTTTGCTGAGCCATTAAGAGAAGTCTAATACTTGTTTGCATTATACATGTGTCAGAAATAAATGAAATTGCTCAAGTGAGACATTTCAGGAGACATGCTCACACTAGGAAGCGGCACATACCAACAGAAGTGGATCTTTGCAAAGGCTAGAGCTCAATACTTGACATGTACACTGCACTTCTTCTCATGCTCTTCCCTTTTAAGGGCTTGGAGCAGGTACCCTCAAGTTCCCCCTGCTGAAAGCCCATTAGCAGGTAGGCTGTATGCTCCTGAAGCAGAGCTTCCTCTTTAGATTGACCTTAAGGGAATTCTTCCAGCTGCTCTGACACTTTACAAAACAAGACAAATCACAGGAAGTGGAAATAACCAAGGTGACTTCCTAAGTGCACTCCTGATCTGAACTAAAACTGGTTCATTGAGATTCAGTTACCACATTTCTCATTCTCATACTGTAGACAGTTACGTCGACCTCCTTATGTCACTGCAAGCTTGACATGTACAAGTACATACAAGTAAACACAAATACTCTATGTCATATTAGAATATACTGTAGCTCTCTATTCTGGCTGGTCAATATTCCATTTTTCAGTTGCTGTCCAAAGCAGAACACTAGCAGCACCAAGTTAATGTAAGCAAGCACCCAAACTTTCTCAAGTCCAGTATAAAACTTCATTCAGTTCCCCTGCAATCAAGTCTATTCAGTGTGTACATGTAATAAAGATGACACAGCTTCTGTGATGTTCTAGGAATGTGTAGCTGGGATTGAAGTCTAGTATTCCTTTCACTGACACAGTTAATAAAATACTAACTAACCCATACTAAAAAGACACATATGTGTATTTTGTAGGTTGCCTACAAAACAAATACAAATTTCAGAATTGCAGCAAATACTTTTCCTGTACATCTATTAAAAAAAACAACCCTGAACACATAATTTAGCTGATCAGACAGTGGTAACAAAAACATTGAGTATTATTTCGGAAATTCAGGAATTCCTAACTAAATGGTCAGAACTATTTATGTTACTATTCAGTGGTTGGTATGAAGAAAAGGTTTACATTTTATTTCTTCAAGGGACAGATGTAGGCACTTTCCTCCAACCAGTGCCCAGTGACAATGTAAATACAGTCTGACAAAAGGCTGAATGACAAGGACTAAGTTTTTCACTCTGTATGGATGTTAATAACTTACCTAAAATACATAAGTTCTGTTTCAGTTCACAGTAACTTTTAGAAAAAATGACTCGGCAGAAAGTGTTAAGGTGACAATTGAGTAAAGGAAACTAACTTGGTGAGTTAACAGAATTCTCTAATTATAAGGCATGATGAGGAAAGAAGAAGCAAAAATATCCCCGTACTATAATTAACATATACTACAACTACACTATACTACAATCAATCATATAATTTTGCTGGTTTTTGCCTTCCACAAAGATGCTGACTCATTTGTAATATGTGAGTAACTCAGCAGATTGATTTCTCTATTTGTTTCAATTTGCCTACACAACAATGATCAGGTAAACTTAAGTGACTACAGTGCACATAGATATTACTAGCAAAGCATAAAATATTTACATAAAAATTGCAACTTTAAACACTTTTTCCTATAATTTTATTAGAAACTTCAAAATACTCACACTGAACTATCAGAACACACTTTCTTCTTAAGTATTTTTGTATGCACAAAATTCTATAACACAGTATTAATACCACTGGAGGTACCTATATATTTATAAACAAAGACCCATGTAGAAGTCTTTCTAAACCAACATGGCTTTCATGATGCCTCAATGTGTTTAGAAATCCTTTAAGTACAAAACTAATTTCTAAATATTCTTACGTAAAGTGGAAAACAACAGAAAGCCAGAAAATACCTCATTAATCTTCTCTTCTGATGTCTCGTCTCGGTTATTTCTGAATTCTTCATTTATCTTTTGTCTTGCAGCTAAACAAAGCAAACAAAAAACTAAAGCATGAACAAAAATCATATTTTGAATTTGTTGCTGCCCCAAAGTTAAGAATCTTAAGTCCTTTCTGGCACCTTCCTGGGGCACTCTGATCAAAGAATTTCAATGTAAGATTTCCATGTAATTCACATGATGTCACATTTTAAACTGAATGGTGTACAAATATAATAAGACTCCAAATTTAGCATTTTGTATTGCATACACAAGGTACTAAAAAAGCAGGATTAATCCCTTGACAAAAAAACATACACAGAGAATTAATTAGTACAGCTAAACATGCTCTGGCTATACTAAAGAGAAGTTAAAAAATGTAAGAAAAGTATCTCCCAGGAAGATCAGGTACATTTAAAAAAGAGATGTTTCCCTTCCAAAATATGTGCTGAGTGCTTAAATCTAAGAACCATTTTTTTTGTTTTGAATTAAATATGTTGTTATGGTCACACAAGTTTTCCCAATTATTACTTGAAAATTATGGAAGTAATTTGAAGAAAGATTATGTTAAGAATTCTCTTTCTCTGTATTCTGAGGAGAAAGTTCCATGAAGTCCAGGTTAGCAAGCACACACCACACGAAACAAGTATCTCACCTTCAAGGGCTTTGGTATCATTTTTAAAAACTTCTTGCCGTGTTCTGTGTAATGACTTAAAAAGCTTCAAAACCTGCCAATACAATATCAATAGAATTAACTTATTTGCTTGCAGGACTGTTATTTAAAATGAACACAATACAAATGGTTGAAATTTAATGTTCTTTCCATTTAGTACAGAATTTGATATGGAATTACTGTGTAAGAGGCTTTACTTAAATTCCTGATTAGAACACTTGCAGCCAAAGCAGATGTAATGTCACCAAAATCTCAGACAGATCTAGATATTTCAAATTACCCTACGATGCTGGCACACAATTCTAAGTAATTATTTGGCATGATGGGAATATAATACTGAAAATACATGGACACAAGTATTATTTATTGTGCCGATGTCAAATAAAACAAGCATAACTGGAATAACTCTAAAAGTCAAGTTACTTGAAGTCATTATCAAGGTTACATCAGCTATTGAAAGACAGAAAAGGAAATGGCTCAAGTATTCTTACATAAAAATCTCCTACAGGTGGTGTGGCAAAACCAATGCAAAGGTCTTCCCTTAAATACAAATGTCAGGTCAGCAAATGAAAAGTAACTAAAAAACTTAGGATTTACAATGTAGATATGACACGCCCGAATATGTATGAAAAGCAAACCCCCCTGAGAATCACAGCTCATAGTCATTTGGTTTTGGTTGATCATTCATACAAACTGCAATGAGTTACAAAAATCCTCAAATCTTTATGAGACTTTTTTTGGTGTTTGCCACAGACTGAAAAGAATCTCTGACGAGCACCAGTAAAACCAAATCTTGGTAACAACATGCCTTTTGAAGCTTCTAGTACTTCCTATCATGTTTTGGTATCTCTAGAGGGCATAATTCCAAGTACTTCATAATAATCTCAAATTGTTTTCTCACGAGTAGTATTCCAAATGTTTTTTAGGATAGAGAACAAACACTATTCCCTAGATGGGTGAATCTGTGGAAGGTAAACTCATGGAATTAAAACACAACAAATAAATTTCTTGCTTTGCAGGTATTTTAACATCTCAAAATTTTTCTAATCCATAATATATTTGCCATTGCTGCAAACAGCAAATTAATATTACAAGCGATTTTATGTTGAACACGTGTATGGTATAACCTGAAGATTTTTATGGTTATTTTGAACAATTTGATGAGCCATTTTCAGGCATCTTCCAACCCTTACAGCAGTGTACAGCTTCCTCACGAGAGAAGGAGAGGCAGGCACCTCTCTGGTATCCAGTGACAGGATCCAAGGGAATGACCGGAAATTTTGTCATGGGACACTTAGGCTGGGTAGCAGGAGAAGCTTCTTCACCTAAAGGGTGGCTGGGCACTGGACAAGGCTCCCCAGGGAAGTGGTCACAGCACCAGCCTGACAGAGCTCAGGAGACTTTTGCATAACTCTCTCAGGCACATGGTCCTGTACAAGACCAGGAGCTGGACTCGAACATTTCTGTGGTTCCCTTCCAACCAGGGATATTCTCTGGTTCAATTTCTCCAAAGCCCGCCTGGAAACTTTTCCCCACACCAGCCACAGAATACCCGTATTAGACGGTCTTGATCAGGATATATTAATGCAGATACCTCTGACCTCTACAGTCACCTGCGTTAACAGAGAGCAAATACTTATCGACTCTACTCCCAAAACTAGGCTTCAAGACACTTCTGACAGAGGCACCAACAGGACAATACACCGTAGCAATGAAAGGGCTTATTAATTCCTAGATCCTTGTTTTTCCCTATCTTACTCTCACAAGACGTGTATTTTAATCTCTGCTTGTCACATTTCGTTTCCTTTTCCCGCAATGGCCTTTGCGTCCAAACCGCTACTTTCTTTTACCTAGCTTTTTGTCCTTCTTGTTCTGAAGGTCTATGACTTTTGGCTCTACAAAAGTTACAAGGCTCCAACCTCCCAGCACGAACAGTTTGTATGTGCATGTGTATGTATGTGTGTGTCACTCGCCTGCCCGCGGCTCCCCATGGCGCCCGCCGCCTGCACCGGCACACCGGCAGAAGTGCCGCACCGGAAGTCACGAGACGAACCGAGCCGCGCCCTCCCGCGCCGCGGCCGGTGCGGCCGCCAATGCTGTCCTCCGGGCTCCGCTCGCTGCCGCCGGCGTTCCGAGAAGTGTTTGTGCCCCCGCCCCGCTGTCACCGCCGGCGGAGCCGACGCGGCCTTTACAGACTCACAGAAGGGACTTCCAGCTCACCACAGTGGGTCATTTGGTCCAATGTCCCTGCTCAGGCAGAGACATGCCAGAGCGGCTCTATCGGATCTCTCCTCATTGGGGAAATTTTCCCTGGACAAATCTGCTCCTGTGCCCATTCACCCACGCACACAGTTCTTCCTCGTGTTCATAGAAACTTCCTGTGCATCGGTTTCTGACCACTGCCTCTTGTCCTGTTGCTGGGCACCACTGAGAAGAGCCTGACGGCATCCTCTGACACTCTCCCTTCAGATACTTGTAGACATTGATGAGGTCTCCTCTCAGCTGCCTCGAAGCTGATCAGGCCCAGTTCCCACAGCCTTTGCTCGAAAGAGAGATGCTCCAGTCCCATCTGCCCTCCACTAGACCCACTCCAGGAGCTGCATGACTCTTGCACAGAGGAGCCCAGAACTGGACACAGCATACGAGATAGATGTGCCTCACCAGGACACGGCAGAGGAGCAGGATCATCTCCCTTGACCTGCTGGCAATGCTCTTCCTGATGCACCCCAAGATCCCATCTGCCTTCTTGGCTATCCAAACAGTGCCAATCCCTGGTATGCCAAGGTCTGGCAGGAGGCAGTCACTGCCTGCAGGAGGAGCTGAAGGCGGTCCATAGCAGGTAGGCAGTGGTACCCACAGGCTCCTCGGTCCACTGGAGCTGTCAGTGGCCCAGGGACCCCTGCCCTCGGAGGCGAGCCGCGGTGAGGACAAGGGGCTGCTCCCTGCCCAGCACCCCCTGCCAGGGTCTGCAGATCACTGCCCAGGGTAGCACAAAGACCAGTGTGTTCTACTCCTTCTTTTGAACAAAAACATAATTATTTCAAATGGGTAACTGGACAGCCATCAGTTTCTGTGTGACACCTAGAACGGCCAATAAATGATGATGTTTGCTGCTGCTGCTGCTGCTGCTTCAAATCAGTTTTTATTTTGCCAGACTGTTTCCTTGCTCTTGCAGTTAGAGCAGCCAATGGCAGTTCAGAATCCTTCCTTATCTGGGATGCCTTCTTCTTTCCCAGTCTATTTTTTCACCACTTCAGAAGAGAAGCTGTGGTTACAGTTCCTTATTTCTATGCTTATCAGCAGTGTCTTGCGACCTCTCCACTTTCTAGGTACCCAGCTGTACTTAGAAGAGGCCAGCTGCACTTTTTAAGGACACTTTTGGTTCCCAGGGTCATAGCTACCAAGTTGGCAGGCTTTTTTTTCTGCTAGTGTTATCCAACAGGCATTTTTTTCTGTTCAGTCATTTCTCCTCTCTAGTCAGGTCACTTTCTTGGCTGCTCACATCAAGTTCCCCACAGCTGTAGCTTGCCTTACTCACACCCTGACCACATTGCCTTGGCCTGGTACATCTATAAAACTGAATTGCCATCCTCTTGAAAATCAAACAAGCTTATGGTTCACTAACACATCATTCAGCATTAGCTAAAGGCAGCATAAGGATTTTCTATGTAATCAGCTTTACTTCTCACTAGACCTCTAGCTTCAATACAGTCTGTTTAATAGTTTAACTGCAATTATATTGCATGCTAACTGAAATGTGAGAATACTAAATTATTACACAATAATTTTAATATTTTTATTATTAATTAATACTTAACGTGTAAGCACCCATTACATAGTTTTTTTTTTACTATGTAACTCATAAAGAGACTTGGTCTGTTAGCAGAAATGGTGTTTACTCGTAATTTATTTCCAAGAATAATTATTGCAGATGTGAATGCATGAATTAGACCCTTTGAAAAGAGGGTCTAATTCATTCATTGTTCTATTCAAAATAATATAAAAGTTGCTGTTTACATGGTGAGACAAATATATGCTGAAGTCAACTACATGAGAAAAAAGGGTTTTGCTTTTTCAGAGAAACTTTGAAACTTGTCTATGTCTTCTGCTTTCTAGACTAACTCCACAGCAGCCCATGGAACTACTTAAAATATATTACCATATGCAAATGAATCATAAATAAGTATTTTACATTAAACTCCTGAGTCTGTCTAGCTAGTAATATCAGATCTTCTATTCTTTCACAAAATACAATTCCTGAGAAAATGGGGGAATAAAATGAATTATATATTTGCTGAATAACCATGGTTAGACAGCAATATAATTGAAAGAAATTTGTCCCTGAAGCACTTCTTTTAATTATCATAAAGCTCACATACTATCTGTAGGACATACATCTGTCAAAATATCTTAATCTAGAACCATCATCTAAGGAAGAGAATAATATTTCATTGTTTAATGTGCTTTATCAGAGTTTTTTTCAGGGTCTTCCATGATAAACTATTTCAGAGTTATTACCAGAAATATATGACAAATTCTGCTCTATTTGTAATATGTTCAGGTAATCAACTGTGGAACCGTATTAGCTTTAAGCCACTTAGCAATATTTATTCCCTTCCTCCCTCCAAAATGCTTTCCTGTAACATTTTTGTCTAGAGACAAATATATATAAATGTCTATATTAATATCCTCCTAAACAAATGTTCAGGAAAATCAACCTATTTTATTTGTGAAGTTTAGAAAATCATAGAATCTGGAACGCTTTGGGTTGGAAGGGACATTAAAGGTCAGCTAGCTCCTGTGCCCCTACAATGGGCAGGGACACCTTTCACTACACGAGATTGCCAAGAGCTCCATCCAGCCTTGCCTTGAACGCTTCTGGGGCACCCACAACTCCTCTGTGCAGCCTGTCCCAGTGCCTCACCATGCTCACAGGAAAGAATTTCTTCTTCACATCAAGTTTAAACCTCAATTTGTGAAGTTTAAAGCCATTCCTCCTTGTCCTGTCACTACATGCCCTTATAAAAGAAGTCTCTCTCCATCTTTCTTACAGGCTCCCTTCAGGTACTGCAGGGCTGCAATTAGGTCATTCTGAAGTGTTTTCAGGGGTGAACAATTGCAATTCTCTCAGCCTGTCCTCACAGAAGAGGTGTTCTGTCAATCATCAGTCTGTTGATAATCTTAGTGGTCTTCTCTGTACTCGCTCCAACAGCTCCATGTCCTTCCTGTGCCAGGACCCCAGAGCTGGATGCAGGGTTCCAGGTGGGGTCTCACCAGAGCAGAGCAGAGGGACAGAATCCCCTCCCTCCCCTGCTGCCCACACTGCTCTGGATGCAGCCCAGGACATGTTTGGCTCTCTGGACTGGGAGTGCCCATGGCTGGGTCATGTCCAGCCTCTCACCCACCAGCACCCCCAGGGCCTTCTCACAGGGCTGTTCTCCATCTCCCAGCCTGTGTTGATAGCAGGGATGGGTGGCCTCGACCCAGGTGCAGGACTTCATGCTTAGTCTTGTTAAACAGCATGAAAATGAAACTTCGTGGTTACTCTTTAAGGCTCGTGATGTTTATTGCCCCTGCTTTTTCATTTCTACTATTTCATGACTGGTGTCATAGCTATATGAAAAATCACTTACAACTAGATGTATAGCTATGTAACTTTGTGTTGCCCTCTGAGAATTATTGCTTGGCTATATTGATGAGTTCGTTTCATGATTACAAAATTACTTACATGCAGTAGAGCTAGCGCATCAAACTGCCCTTCTGCAAGAATTCCAGTAGCACCAAACACCTGCAAACTTTGATGGAAAAGCTAAGGTCAGCCCAGCCAGTTACAGACTGCAGGAGCTTACCCCAAGAAATCACACAGATATTTGGGTTGGATTTGATAGCAGTACTGCTGCCTACAGTAGCTTTTCCCGGGACCGCACCACAACTACAAAATCGCCTTGCACCTCGGCCCTTTGATCCCTGCGCGGATCCTGCAACACTTCCTCCCACCGGATCCCTCCGCGACTCCCGGGTCAGCGAGGGCGCGCCACTGCGGTGGGCGGGAACCAGCGGGACAATGACAGGCGAAGTAGCCAATCAGCCAGCCGGGCTCGGAGAGTTGCCGGCTTTAGGCCAATGAGCGCCGTGGGGGGCGTGGCCACGGAGGAAGGCGGGGCTGAGGGCCGGCGGGAGCCGAGCGGGAGCCGCCGCCATGGCTGACGAGATCAGCAAGGCTCAGGCGGCGCGTCCCGGTGGGGATACCATCTTCGGGAAGATCATCCGCAAGGAGATCCCCGCCAACATCATCTACGAGGACGAGCAGGTGCGGGCTGTGCAGGGGCCGGGGGCGCCGCGGAGGCACTCGGGAGCGTGGCGGGGCGGGCGGGGCGGCCCCGCGCCTCCCTGCACCGTCCCTGGAGCTGCATCGGGCTCCTTGCCAGGGGTCGAGGGTTCTCACAGATGGTGTAGGAGGGTAGTTGTGAAACCTTTACCACCCGCAGGCAGCGGTCTTGCGGGTTCCGAGCAGAACACCACGACTGGGTGCTTTTGCAGGTCCCGATGTGTCTCAATAGCCTTACAGAGGTTTTTCAGCTCTGCCTGCTGGTCTTTGGCAGTGAACCTCCGAGGGGGTTTGCTGATGCATCGTAGCATGTTAGGGCCGAAATGAAATAATTAGCTTTAGAAGAAATGCAGCAGTTATCCCAAAATGTAAACTAACTAGTATTTCGCATAAGATCTCCTGCACTTTTTCTCCCCCGTCCTTCAGATTGAAATACAGGAGCCCCATTAACAGGGATTTTTTTTGCTTTTCAATTACGGGTTTATTCTCAGTGTACAGTACAGACTCGCTAAGGATGCAGTTTGTCAGATTAATGTGCTTAAAAATCATGCATAGCTTGAAACAGCGTTTTCTTAATAGATGGCAGAATAGTTACAGTTGCCATATGCTCTGAAGAATATTGGAATGTTCACTGCTTTCTGCTAGTCATGCTCATGATACTGCTTTGTGTTTATGTGAAGCTGTTTCGCTGTTAAACGTGTTGGGTAAGTC